CGAGCTGGGCCCACAGGCTTTGGTGGTTGTGGGGCCCGCCATTTTTTAGTTGATAACTGGGGACTTGCAGCGAAAGAGTGGGAGAGTTTGGTCCTAGCATACACCAGTTCCTCCATTTTCTGTGAGAAGCTTAGAAGTGGAGATGCTGGAACCATGTGTTCAGCCCAAGTAACCGTGAAAACATGTTAGTTCCCCTTGCTGGGAGTTGTCCACTGATGGACAACTGAACTTTGAGTTTTCGAAATGTTTCAAAGAGTTCACTGAAATCCTTCTTTAGGAGTTCTGACTGCTCTTTCCAAATATCATTCTTCCCCACATGGATGATGATTCGATTTGCAGTCTTGTGCTTCATTAGAATTTTCCAAAGTTCTTTGTTTACATCAGAAACGGAGCTGAAAGCCGCCGTCTGCTCGACCTTGAGCTCCTGTTAGTAGCGATGTTAGCTGCTGGCTGATCCGATCCATCTTTAATCACATTTGGGGATTCCTCACCCGCATTCATTAATGCTTCAAATCTGTTCTCAAGATGTATAGGCAGAATACCAGTATTCACAAGCCTTGTCATAGCCGAATCTGGGGTAGAGGATGCTATGGCAGCAATACGAGATACTCGTGATAATCTGATGTCTCGAGTGCCTTTGGGTCTCGCTCCCTGTTTGTGCCATCGATTAGTGTGTCGATCAGTTTCGGCTTGTTCCTCTACACTTGGTATAAACTGTTGAGATTCACTAGATTCACAGGACTCACCGGCTGAATGCTGAGGGGGTCCATGATGTAGAAGTCTGTGGCAGTTTATGCAACAAGTAGATTCAACAGGAGGCATTATTCTCTCTCTTCTGTTTGAATGTAGACCGCTGTGTTTTCCCTTCTCCGGAATGTAAGCTGCTGGCAGTGGGAGGAAAAATGCTTATGCTAATAAGCAACTAGTTAGTAGTGAGAATTGGTCCCTAAGCTAAAGTGTTATCACAATACCAATAAAAATGCAAAAATGTTCCATTCTTAATGTTTTAGGATTTGTTCAAATGCAAGAATAGTCCTGTAAAGCACTGCTAGTTTACATCAGGGTTTATAATAGTTAACTAAAACTAAAATGATAAAATTAATAATAAATACTTTAATTTAAATAAATGCTAACCGAAATAAAGTATACAAACTTTTTTTTACTAGTTGCTAAGATAGTGTTTTTCATTTTCATTTAGTTTAACTTGATGCACTAAAATAACTAATTCAAAATCTTAATAAATACTGTAATAGTATCTAAATGATACTAAATAGCACTGGTTTACGCGTGAGTTTGTGTTTGACTCAGGAGCTCCTAAATGGGTGGAGAAGATCAGCAGCTCGGAGAGAGACATCGGAGGCGATTACATCATGTCCTGTCTGGCCAGCGGGAAACCCAAACCCCACGTGCACTTCCTGAAGAACGGACGAATGGTACCACTGACGTCTGATTTATAATCATTCCTTTTCACACAAATTCAAGCTTTTAAAATCAGATCAACTGAAAATAAATCTGAATTTTGGCAGGTGCTTTTATTCAAAGTGACTGTTTTTACATTCAGAGTTTTATATATTCAATCAGTTCATGTTGCTAGCATCATGCTGTACTCTTTGAGCTACAGGAACGCCACAGTCTCCCTATTGTGATGTCAATAAAAATAGCAAACATTGTCCCAGTCAGTAAAATGCATTAGCATACTCCTCCACTCCAGCAGTGCATGTAATAGATGCAGCAGATGAGCGTAATGAATGAGCGTGTTGTGAGGCGGCCGGACTGCTGGCTGTGTTCCCGTCTAGAGCGAGGCCTTCCCATCATGCTTCTGGTTGCATAACAGCCACGACACCAGATGGTGCTGATCCAAACACCTGAAGTGTGTTTACAGCGTATATCACAGGAAGAGTCACAGATGGTAGAGAATGATGTCCTGGGTCGCTAAAGACCCGAGGTATGCGTTTAAGGGTTAATATGTTTTTTATGATTTGTTTTTATAATTGTTTTTTTTTTAAATAAAATTAATAAATAATCAAATACATTTATTTATTTGTTTGTTTGTTTTTGTTTTTAATTAGAATTAAAATGTATTTGTACGGCATTATTCAGTTTGCTTGTATGCCAAATTGTTTTATTTGTTAGTTTATTTTATGATTTTGTAATATTTTTATTATTATGATTTTATTTATATTTATTTTATCTAATGAAATTAATTAAACAAATACATTTTCATATACATATTTGCATGAAATAATTTATTTGTACTTTTTACATTTATATTTATTAATTTTGCTTGTATGAATTATATATAAATACATGCACACA